GTAAAACAAGTGGAACTAACCCCCCCCCCTCCTCCCCGCATAATTTATTTCCGCCAATGTTGTAGATCTTGTGACAAGTTACCTCCCCTTTGAGGTTTCGTTAGAATGACATTAGAGTTGGCCTGTTAGGGCTATTAGAGTGCGTGCGACTCGGTGTGACGGCCGGCTCTCGGCGGAGGAGCGTCTCTCGTCACGTTCAAAGTGTGTAATTACGCGTATTATACCATCTTCCAATTAAAGTGGGATGAGGTTCGCTCGATTGGACAAAATTACGAGGAGGAGGATGTTTAACTCATTTTTATGATCAGTCATCCCCTGATCCTTTCATTAATTTTATAACTATAGATCTTGTTAATTATTCGCTGTGCTTAATTTTGCACTCGTTTAATTTTACAAAATTATTTGCAAAAAATACCATTGTCTTAACAACATTTCCGTCTTACAAGAAAAAAATCGTGCTTAATTTTTCCAAATCTTATAAATTTCCTTCGTGAAAGGAAACTCTTACGTGAATTTCTTCTCGCTGGAGGAATTGTTCCGTTGTGAAAACACACGCTTGTTGGAAGGGTTAAAAGAATCATCCCCTCTCTAAAGCCATCGTGGAAAATCGCGCTCGCTTCCCGGGAAATGGCCAGGTGTGTCGGTTGCGCGAACGTGTCGCGAGCGAGCGCCGTAACGCGACGGATTTAACGCGAGAGCTAATACGAGCACCACCACCTCGTGCATCGATAGATCATTTTCCTCGGAGAGGAGAGACACGGTAGCCGGAAGGGTAGTAGTAGCAGCGGCAGCAACAGCAGCACCAGCGACAGTGACAACGGCAGCCGGAAGGGCAGCAGCAGCAGCGGCAGGCACGCACGAGAGAAAGAAAGAGGAAACGCACGGCCAGTAAATACGAGGGAAAGGCCGCGACCTTTGACCTACCGCGACCTACCGCGAGCCCTCGACGTTCGAGCCCCGGGCCGAGGGATAACTCGTCAAGACTCTCGGTCTCGGTCCATCGGGATCATCCTCGCTCTCGCCGCCGCGGGGGAAGTGGCGGTGCTACCACCGGTAGTGGCGAAGAGAAAGGACGGAGTCGCCCCGCGAAAAGGAGTCGTCACGACGACCCTCCGTCCACACCCGCCGTTTCTTTCTCTTTCTCTCTCCCTCGCCGTTTCGCGCGAGGCCGAAAGCCTCCTCGCATCCTATTAACGCCGGTCTGCCTAATCGTCGCGTGTGCAAGGCTCTAGAATACGTGAAGAAAAAAAAAAGAAAAAAAAAAGACTGATCTCGCGCGTTTAACGGGTGGTTTTTAAGCGCCAGCGAGGCTCCTTCGATTTTCTTCGAGCTCGATCGCGCGCTTTTTCTCCCTTCTCCCTTTTTGTCATCATTTCCGCCTGTCCCCGTCTCGCGCTCGTCAGGGGCGTCGTCTTTGTCATCGTAGTCTCCTCGTCGTCGCAGCGACATGGGCGGATGTACTTCGAAGGATACTACGTCGGGCGACGAGTACGTATCCGTGAAAGAAGTCCAGCGGAATGAGAAAGTCCACCTCCTCTTTCTTTCTCACTTCCTCCCCCCCCCTCTCCTCCCCTCCCCTCGCCATCCCATCTCTCCCTTATTTTATCTGACTTTATTATCAAATTTTTATTATCACTCAGTAGGTGTATTAAGATTTCTATGTTATTTCTAGGTGTGTTTCAATATTTTAATTATATACATAATTTGTGTATACAGAAAAAATTAATCTTACATCAAGAAAAATATTCTCATATATAAGCAAGAATATTACAATTTTCTTAAAAATTTTAGTCTTGAATTGATTTAATTTGTATGAATGCAAATATTGCACAACTCAAGAAAAATTTTCTATATGAAGATTGTAATACTCCTTTTATATAAGAAAATATATAATCTTGATTTAAGATTAATTTTTTTTTGTACAGTTTTGCTGAGGAATCTAAAAATTTTAGCTAGATGATACAGATTTGAAAATAATTCTGCTCAGTCATTGAAAATTATTATGTAAAACATTTAAGGTGATGATGAGTACTGCAAAAATTTTTTATACTCTAGCAACAAAGTTGAGAACGTCCCACATAATTATTTTAATGATCCAGAGTTATTTTCAGATCTGTATCTAGCTAAATTTTTTTAAATTCTTCAGCAAAACTTTTCTTTTCACATATACTGATTTCCATTAAAATAAGATACCTTAAATTGTCGTAGGTGTGCTGTTGTAGATATATTCATGGGAGTTTTATGGATATAAAAAAATTGAAGAGGAAATTATAGGAATTTAATATATTTAATATTTGATGAAAATATCACGTACGGAAACTTTGATAAGATACTAAAATATCTAAACGCGCGTCAACAATTTTTTTTTTGCTTTCGGATTTTTTCTTAACTGTCTAACGAACTTGTCAGGCTGATCTCTCAGGATTTTTACGCGATGGTTTAACGTGACATCATGCCCGTCCCCCATCTGTTCCGCGTAAAGGATTTCGCATGAGCTAGAGACTATCGTCACAGCTCTTCTTGTTCTCGAATCGACGTGACGATCGGCGCATAATCGTGTTTCGACGAGCGATGGGCGGCGTATGCTCGTCGCTGGGTATATGCGAGTCGACGGAAGACCAACAAACCGTCCAACAAAATGACCAACAAACCGTCCAACAAACCGACAACATCGACAACAACGACGATGACGACGACGTGTACGTATGCTCATTCGGCCTTCGATCCTAGGATGCACTCCGCGAGTTACATTCGATTTCTCCCGACTGGATTCAAAAGTCTAGTAACACCAGTTCACAGCGAAAAATTAATTTGAATCAAACAAGGTATTTCTTACAGAATGCTGAAAATAATGTCGCAAATTTTTTCAGTTCAGATTTCCCAAAATAAATTGAAATTTAATATGAAAAAAAAAATGGTTTTTTGCGATATTTTTGAATTCTTTTTTATTAAGGTTAACGATCTCTTGAAATTCTGATCAGAAGTCATGAATGTATTCATCTTTCTTAAAATGCATTTTTATTTTGATGACTTTTTAGCCATGTTGTGAAAGATTTTAAAGCAAAAGTCTTAGAAACTCTATCAAAATTCTTTCATATAATTAAAAAATAAGATCAAAATAAACTAATGTATTTTATAGAAGATTAACAATCATGACTTATACATTCATGAATTCATAACTTATCAGAATTTTAAAATATCTTTATTTATAAAAAATTTTGTGAAATATATAAAGCAAAAAAATATATAAAGTTTTTTATATTAAACCTCATTTAAGTGTGGAAACCTTGACATGTGTGCGGTATTGTTTACGAAAATCTATAAGAAGTGCTTTGTCTAGTGCTTTAAAATAATAAAAAAATATATTTCGTAAACTAGTGTAATTTATCAATTTTTTACATCCATTTTTTTCTAACGCTGCAGAAATTCGCAACTTTCGTCGAGAAATCGTTGGAAAACATGTCAGTTCTTTTCTCTAAAAATTTTTAAAAATAGAGTGATTAATAGGCAATGAATATTGAAGAATTTAATTTCTTGAATGGAGAAAAAAAAATATTAATTTTTAAAAAGATTGAATTTAGATTAATTTCTTAAGAAAAATGATTTGCATAATTTTCACTCCTATTCCCTCACTCGTGTTGAGCAATTTTTTTAACTTGTGCGTCCTAGGGTCGGGCAGATACAAGTGCACCGCGCACCAACAAATGAGAGACACATGTGCTGCACCGAAGGAATTAGAAGCTACGTGAAGTATAAAAATATATCGAGTATATAAGAAAGATGTATGTGTAAGAGGAATATTTGCATCGTTGAAAAAAATAAAACGATCGATGCACGTTGTCGGGGATGACTCAGACTTGTGATCCGATTTAATCGGATTACCATCAAATATTCAGAGCAAGATGCGACAGATGTCCAAATACTTTGCACTCTTAATTAAGCAATATTGTACGAATGCAACTGTGGCTGAACTGTCGTACGCCACATCTTGATTCTTCTCGATGTTCTGCACTACAGAGATCACAGCAATAAGCAAGGCGAGATAATTGGCGCTATCAATTGAAGGGTTAATGTTAGAAATTAGGGATATTCTAAAATTAATCTGTGAAAATTGTAAATTGAAAAGATGAATGAAATAATTTCATCAAATTCTTAATGAAATTAGATCATCAAGCGGATTGGACTGGGTCCTTCAATTGAGCTAAAAGACCTATCTCTCTTTTTATTTAATGTATTATCTCGTTGTTTTGCAATGCAAAATTTTCACATTTTTTTTAACGTAATCGGTCAATGTCTTGTTACAGTAAAAAAGGTAACAATATGGTAGACGCAGCAGTTCTGGACAAGCTGGAGTCCGGCTTCGCGAAGCTGGCCGCATCCGACAGTAAATCGTTGCTGAAGAAATACTTGACCAAAGAGGTCTTCGATCAGCTAAAGACTCGAAAGACCTCGTTCGGCTCCACTCTCTTGGATGTTATTCAGTCTGGTCTGGAGAATCATGATTCTGGTGTTGGTATCTATGCGCCCGATGCCGAAGCTTACACTGTTTTCGCTGAGATTTTCGATCCCATCATCGATGACTACCACGGCGGCTTCACGAAAACTGACAAGCATCCGCCAAAAGACTTCGGCGATGTTGACTCCTTTGGCAATCTCGATCCCACCGTAAGTTCTTTCTAGAAATTTTATGTCATAAATTATAATAAGTGTCATTACTATTATATACGTTTATTATAATAAAATTTTATTAAATTAAATAATTAATAATATTTTATAACAATATTATAATTAATTGTAATAAAATGATTATTGTAACTATGTTGTAATTAAAATTCTAATATAAATGATGAATATTTGACAATTTTTCTGTTATGTAGGGTGAATATATCGTGTCAACTCGCGTGCGATGCGGCCGCTCTTTGGAAGGATATCCATTCAACCCGTGTTTGACCGAAGCTCAATATAAGGAAATGGAGGAGAAGGTTTCGAGCACACTGTCAGGTCTTGGCGGTGAATTGAAGGGTACATTTTATCCGCTCACCGGCATGAGCAAGGAAGTACAGCAGAAGCTGATCGACGATCACTTCCTTTTCAAGGAGGGTGATCGTTTCCTCCAAGCTGCAAACGCCTGCCGTTTCTGGCCTACTGGACGTGGCATCTTCCATAACGACGACAAGACTTTCCTTGTCTGGTGCAACGAGGAGGACCATCTCCGCATCATCTCTATGCAAATGGGTGGTGATCTTGGACAGGTAAATTATTTACAGATAAAAATTCTGAATTTGGATAAAAATTTTTTCATATAATATATTAACCCTTTGCACTTGACTATCTTCTCTAAGGAGACACGAAAAGATTGCAAGTAATTATAAAAATATGTATAAATAAGTTTTATTTCAAATATTGTTTCAATAATATAATTACTTATAATACGTTATTCACTATTTCGTGAATAAATATATTCAAGTTGTCAGTAAATGATCTAAAAAAATCTTCGAATACAAAGGGTTGGTATTTTTTTTATTTTAATAAATTAAACTCGACTTTTTTATAATTATATATCTATTTGAAAATATAATATGTCTACGAAAAATATTTAAATAAATTTTTTTGTAACGTCTTGAGAATTTTCTTTAAAAGTTTTGTTATACATTGTGAAAATTTGCGATCAAATATAATTTAGCAATACAATGAATCATTTCAACATATTCAAATATTAATTAGTTTACATTTGTCAGGTATATCGACGCTTGGTGACGGCGGTGAACGAGATCGAGAAGCGATTGCCGTTCTCGCATAACGATCGCTTCGGCTTTTTGACGTTCTGTCCAACGAATCTGGGTACGACGGTGCGTGCCTCGGTGCACATTAAGGTGCCGAAACTCGCGGCGAATAAAGCCAAGCTCGAGGAAGTTGCAGCCAAGTACAATCTACAAGTGCGTGGCACCCGCGGCGAGCATACTGAAGCTGAAGGCGGCATTTACGACATCTCCAATAAACGCCGTCTCGGTCTGACCGAGTATCAGGCTGTGAAGGAGATGAACGACGGCATCGCTGAGCTCATCAAACTGGAAGCCAGCCTTTAAATTCACTTCCTCCCCCAACACACTTCGTATTCGTTTACTCTCCATCGTAGCCCCGTCGTCGGACGCCACTGTATTATGTGACGTCACGCTGAAAACTGTGTCTATGGCGTGAGG